GGCTTGTGTTGTGATGGTGTTATTTTAGATGGATGAGTAGTACTGGTGTGGCTGAACACAGCGTTGGTGTGGCTTGTGTTGTGATGGTGTTGGTGGACTGGACACAGCGTTGGTATTGCCTAGGACAGTGTTGGTGTAGCTAGCTAGACAGTATGTATCACTGGAGCTCTGCTACTGACGTATGGGTGGTGCTTTTTCGATGATTCAATACTGTGGCTGTGTATACAGTTGTCTTCTATTTACTTATTTTATTTTCATTACTCTTCTGTTTTAATTTTGTTTTAGTGACATCTATACTCAAGCGTTGCTCAGACATAGCATACACATGCAAGTTTTACCTTAAACTATACCCTTGCAGTGTAGATAACATGTATTTATCCGTCGTTAATAACCTTTAAAATAATGTCAGGGACATCAGTAATGCTCACTGAGACGTAAACAAATATATTTTTAAGGATCTTTAAGTTAGAAAATATAATTACCACGACGCATGGGCAATTTGTAAAGAGAACTGTGGTGTTCTAGACCGATCAGCTATAATGAACTTTTATGGGCTGGTTATACCTATTTGCAGCTACACGAGCAAAGTTATGCTAATGTTGTCTCTTCCTTGGCGTTTAATCTATCATATATTTTGCGTCCCACAGCGTGGATGGTTAATAGAAATAGTGATTTTCTCGCCTGTTTGTGTCAGCCTTGACTGTAGCTACACAGACGAGGCCATCACTTATAACAGTTTGCTTGCAATTAGTGTCACTAGTAAATTAAGTGGAGTGTAAGAGCAGTGGTAGTGAAGACAGAGCACTGTGGCGAAGCCTGTGTTGCCTTGTGCCATATTTTCTCACCAATTGGCAGACAGACAGTTGGACTTAAGACTCCTGGTGCCAAGTATCTGCCAGCGGGGCATTGCTCTCACCAATTACTTGCTGGAAACCAACATGGTTAAATTCCTAAAGTATCAACTGCATTACCTGACCAATAAACTTGCTGGTAAATTCTTTCAAATTAATTTAAGAGATCAATCTGACTAGTTCTATATCTTCTTCCATGATTTATAGCCTACTGTTGATTAACTACCAGTGATACCAGCCTTACTGTTGATACTACCAGTGATACCAGCCTTACTGTTGATACTACCAGTGATACCAGCCTTACTGTTGATACTACCAGTGATACCAGCCTTACTGTTGATAATACCAGTGATACCAGCCTTACTGTTGATACTACCAGTGATACCAGCCTTACTGTTGATACTACCAGTGATACCAGCCTTACTGTTGATACATGAACCAGTGTATACTACCAGCCTTACTGTTGATACTACCAGTGATACCAGCCTTACTGTTGATACTACCAGTAACATCAACTTTACTGTCCCTGTTCATCCAGCTCTTATGTCGCTAATAATATAAATTCGTTTTATTCTAAGTAATTTTTATCGTCATATTGCATCCTATAAGCAATATTGCCCTTACGGGCTTAGCGCTTCCCCATGAATATAATAATATTTCATCATATATTCCTATTTGCCTTTGTTTTTAATTTATTCCATCTTTACTACTCAATTCTTTTTCCATATTTACCTTCTATCTCTGTTTTTTTTCACTGAATTATCGTGTTTTATTTCCTATCTTTCTGTTTTATTAACCTACTTACTTTAACCCCCCCTGATGCCGATGCCAAAATCCCAAAAAGGGCAGGTCTAGAGTATGGGGCATGGCCCTCTTACATCATAAGTTGGTACTTTAATTTCAAATTAGGACACATAGCGCCCAAGCCACCTAGTCAGTGCCGTTAGGGCTTGTGTACGTAGATCTCGAGAGTACAAGCCTCTGTCAGCTGATCACACCGTAGACCCTCCTTGATCCCGGAATTATCACAGGTCAACCATCCTTGACCAGGATATTATCACAGCGGCTGCCACAATCCACCCATCATCCTTGACCAGGATATTATCACAGCGGCTGCCACAATCCACCCACCATCCTTGACCAGGATATTATCACAGTGGCTGCCACCATCCTTGATCAGGATATTATCACAGTGGCTGCCACCATCCACCCACCATCCTTGATCAGGATATTATCACAGCGGCTGCCACAATCCACCCACCATCCTTGATCAGGATATTATCACAGTGGCTGCCACCATCCACCCATCATCCTTGACCAGGATATTATCACAGTGGCTGCCACCATCCTTGATCAGGATATTATCACAGTGGCTGCCACCATCCACCCACCATCCTTGATCCAGGATATTATCACAGTGGCTGCCACCATCCACCCACCATCCTTGATCAGGATATTATCACAGTGGCTGCCACCATCCACCCACCATCCTTGATCAGGATATTATCACAGCGGCTGCCACAATCCACCCACCATCCTTGATCAGGATATTATCACAGTGGCTGCCACCATCCACCCATCATCCTTGACCAGGATATTATCACAGTGGCCGCCACCATCCACCCACCATCCTTGATCAGGATATTATCACAGCGGCTGCCACAATCTACCCACCATCCTTGATCAGGATATTATCACAGTGGCTGCCACCATCCACCCACAATCCTTGATCAGGATATTATCACAGCGGCTGCCACCATCCACCCACCATCCTTGACCAGGATATCACAGTGGCTGCCACCATCCACCCAGCATCCTTGATCAGGATATTATCACAGCGGCTGCCACCATCCACCCACCATCCTTGACCAGGATATCACAGTGGCTGCCACAATCTACCCACCATCCTTGATCAGGATATTATCACAGTGACTGCCACCATCCACACACAATCCTTGATCAGGATATTATCACAGTGGCTGCCACCATCCTTGACCAGGATATTATCAGTGGTTGATACCATTTATGTCATTTACAATAGTTATGTTGCGTCACTCCTCTGCTTCAGTTGTACATCCTAACCTAACGGAAATATTTCACCCTGATCATCCTGAAGGGAATATTCCACCCTCATCATCCTGAAGGTAACATTCCACCGTGATCATCCTGAAGGTAACATTCCACCCTCATCATCCTGAGGGCAACATTCCACCCTCATCATTCTGAAGGCAACATTCCACCCTCATCATCCTGAGGGCAACATTCCACCCTCATCATCCTGAAGGCAACATTCCACCCTCATCATCCTGATGGCAACATTCCACCCTCATCCTAAGGGCAACATTCCACCCTCATCATCCTGAGGGCAACATTCCACCCTCATCATCCTGAAGGTAACATTTCCACCCTCATCATCCTGAGGGCAACATTCCACCTCATCATCCTGAAGATAACATTTCACCCTCATCATCCTAAGGGCAACATTCCACCCTCATCATCCTGAGGGCAACATTCCACCCTCATCATCCTGAAGGCAACATTTCACCCCCATCATCCTGAGGGCAACATTCCACCCTCATCATCCTGAAGGCAACATTCCACCCTCATCATCCTGAGGGCAACATTCCACCCTCATCATCCTGAAGGCAACATTTCACCCCCATCATCCTGAGGGCAACATTCCACCCTCATCATCCTGAAGGCAACATTCCACCCTCATCATCTGATGCAACATCCACCCTATTAAGGGCAACATTTCACCCTCATCATCCTGAAGGCAACATTTCACCCCATCATCCTGAGGGCAACATTCCACCCTCATCATCTGAAGGCAACATTCCACCTCATCATCCTGAAGGCAACATTTCACCCTCATCATCCTGAAGGCAACATTCCACCCTCATCATCCTGAAGGCAACATTTCACCCTCATCATCCTGAAGGCAACATTCCATCCTCATCATCCTGAAGCCAACATTCCACCCTCATCATCCTGAAGGCAAAATTCCCTCATCATCCTGAACCCATCACCCTATCATCCTGAAGGCAAAATTCCATCCTCATCATCCTGAAGGCAACATTCCACCCTCATCATCCTGAAGGCAACATTTCACCCTCATCATCCTGAAGGCAAGATTCCATCCTCATCATCCTGAAGGCAACATTTCACCCTCATCATCCTGAAGGCAACATTTCACCCTCATCATCCTGAAGGCAAGATTCACCTCATCATCCTGAAGGCAACATTCACCCTCATCATCCTGAAGCCAACATTCCACCCTCATCATCCTGAAGGCAAAATTCCATCCTCATCATCCTGAAGGCAACATTTCACCCTCATCATCCTGAAGGCAACATTTCACCCTCATCATCTAAACACCACCCAAACATCTTCATCGTTAACCTTTTTTTCTGTTTTGATCTTTCTATCCACAATCTTTATTCCCAGCTTATTCCTTGATACCAGTTTATCATTCTGTTCTTCCTGCTCCAGTCAAAATTTTTGTTCACTTTCAGTTGGGCTAATTTATTACACCTTATTCGCTTACCTCTGCTTGTATAGTCGACTGATCTAACTTCAGTGCTTCTTTTTCTTCTGAAAGTTGCCCCTGACTCCAAGAGTACTTTTTGTATTGCTGTTAGCGGACGGAGGATTGAGTCTCCACCATTCCAGTCACCAAAGGCCCCACACGAGTTAGCTGCTTCATATAAATGCAATAATAATTTATCTGTTTAAGTCTACGTTCTCTTTGTTTTGGTTTGCTTTTATTCTGTTTATCTTTGTCTTATGTACTCGTACTTGATGAATGAATATCTTTTAGAGGTGTTAATCCACGTATGTCTTCTTAAATATTTCAACAGCTTCTACCACGCTAGCTACTCTCTAATTGCATGTTTCACCTAGTTAATACATTTTCATTTATCATTTCAGATACCTGCACTTCCTTGTGTAACTTTGATATTTGGTGAACCTACCTCCTGCCGCCTGGCAGGTTTGATCAAGCCCTGCTTGGTACATCTACTTAGTGAATCTGCCTATTTTTGCTACCTCAGAACCTCATCTACTGGCCACCTGGTTGTTCCTCTTTGCCAGTACCTCTCCCCTGCTTCTACTTCGCAAGTATCTTTCATAATTACTCTCGTTCCTTTCCTCTTCTTGGACGGTCCACTTCCCACAACATGGATTAGTGCTATTCCTAATTCGTAATTATCTTGTGTTTTAGGAAGTAACTGTAGTAAATCAAATGCATAATATTTCTCATTAAAAAATAGAATTCACTATAATCTGAATAGTTTTACCAAAGTCAGAGTTGATTAACATTTAAGTTAAAAAAATGAGGATAAAAATTAAAATAATTACAGGTAATACGGCCAGTTTTTCATTTAAATGTTTCAATAACATAAATGCAAAATTTATAGTATTAGTTCATGATAAATTAATATGAATACTCACTGAAAGTGTGATCAAACAAGATCCTATTTTTACTTATTTTTTGAAGATTTGTTGCAGATAACGACGAGAGTGTAGGTGATTCACCTTAAGTCACCTGCGAGGTGGTATAGCTGGCTGCAAGAGTGTGTTCGACGGAGTCAAGGTTCACTCGCCTCACCTTCACATCTAGCAGCGACGTACCGCTTCTGAGGACACACTCACACTGACGATGGACACACTTGCTCGTCTAGCAGTGTGTGTGAGTGGCGCTCTTGGTAAGCACACGATGTAGGCTCGTAGGTCGGTGCATCAGTACAAAACAGTTCCTTTGAACACTTTCCATGCAATGTTTTGTTGACTAATATTGAACTGTTACCTGTTTGCTCAATAAAAAAAAAAGATAAAACACAGAACATTGAGAACTCATTATTTTCCGAAACTCTTATCATTATATTCTGTTTTCACTACCGCACGTGTGGTTAAAAATTCAAACACTGCTGCCCTTCACATTGTCATAATCACATCATTCTCTGATATGTAGCACGTAAATGCAGTTAACAACAAAACTATAAACTGAAAATTAAAACTGCACGATATTTTGGTACGTTGTCAATCATTGTCAAGTCGCGAGTTCGATGATAGTGTGACTTTTATTCCTCATCAGTATAGTATTAAAAGAACGAGCTGGGTGCTGGGAAGATACCTAGTAGAGAAAGTGGGGCAATGTACCCAGTAGAGGGAGCAGTGGAGGGCTCCAGAAGGGAGTCAGTGTAAGACTGTGACCAGCTGTCTCACACAGCTCCGCGGCCGCCGCCCACCACACCGCCAGGTCCTCCTCACTGCCATGCAGAAATAGACTTGGAACTCGATCCTCAGGTTAATTGTGGCCAACATGTAGCCCCGCTGACCAATAACACCGCCCCGCAGGATCGCCCGTACACTCAACAATATGTATGTGATACATGTATTATATATATATATATATATATATATATATATATATATATATATATATATATATATATATATATATATATATATATATATATGTGTGTGTGTGTGTGTGTGTGTGTGTGTGTGTGTGTTGTGTGTGTGTGTGTGTCTGTGTTGTCTGTGTGTCTGTTGTCTGTGTCCTGTGTCTGTGTGTGTCTGTGTGTGTGTGTGTGTGCCGAATAGGTAAAATTGGTCAGTTAACAAGAACTTATTTAAAATTAAGTTCTTTCTAAAATTTTCTAATACGTTTAAAGATATATTTTTTCATTTGTGTGAATGTAAAAATTAATAATTTTGACCCAAAAGAACCTTAGAAAACTTACCCAACCTTATTATAACAAGCTCAATTTAATTTAGCCTAATCCCACTAAATATATTTTAGATAAGTTTACAGTAATTTAAAAATAAACAAAACAATGAAATATATTTTTTTCGTTAGGTCCAGAATGATTTTTTGCGAAATTATTACATTATTAAGAGACCATACAATAAGTGTCAGGGGCCCGAGACTGTTCAACTGCCTCCCAGCACACATAAGGGGGATTACCAACAGACCCCTGGCAGTCTTCAAGCTGGCACTGGACAAGCACCTAAAGTCAGTTCCTGATCAGCCGGGCTGTGGCTCATACGTTGGTTTGCGTGCAGCCAGCAGCAACAGCCTGGTTGATCAGGCGCTGATCCACCAGGAGGCCTGGTCACAGACCGGGACACGAGAGGGCGTTTGACCCCGAAACTCTCTCCAGGTAATACTCAGGTACAAAATTTTCGCTTGTCTTAATCGGCAAGAAGAGCGTTTCTATTTAAGCCAAAAGAGCAAGTTTTACGTATTCGGCACGACATGTATATTATCTCTCAGTTCACAGCAGGATTCTAACCTGCTCACGCTGTATCAAAGTACACAGTACTTTCGCCATTCACCCATATGCCAGCGAAAGTATTGTGCACTTTGATACAGCGTGTGCAGGTTCGAATCCTGCTGTGGACTGAGAGATAATGTTTCTAACACGTTCGTATCGGTGGGATATGGCCCGTTCGTTGAAAAAAAAATATATATGTATTTTCTTCCAGTGGTTAGGTATTTGAGTGGGTATTAAATGGACACAAAGTATGAGGATTACAGGAAGGTTCCTGCAGTGCTCACGAGAGACAAAGTGTTGCGCTGTCACCTGTCCACTTACACACACACACACACACACACATGCTTGTAAAGATTCCAATACTGCTGAAGATCGTTCCACCAGGCTGACTCACTCACCCATGTTACGGTGCAATGTGGCTGCTCTCCCACAACTGCTCTCCCATCTCAGTACTTGATATAATTATTGTCATACAGGAGCATTAATCTCATAATAGTCAGTGTCTGAGGAACGGGTTTGATCCATGGAAAGGAAAGAATATCTCTAAGACCTTGGATAAAGAGCCCTTCTGCACCGTCAAGTCAACGTCTCCCCTTGAAGGGCGTTTTGGTTATGATTACGCATCTCATCCTACTGTGAAAACTTGGTGTTTGCATGTTATTCACAAAAATAAATCAGCTAGTAGTACAGAATAAATACCCACTATTTTCTAAGAGATTAATTCTTAAGTGTTATCTGTACCTATTTCAATACTTTTCAACAAATCTCTTGAAGAACACACCTTTCCCGACTGTCTCAAAATAAAATGATAACGCCCGTCCAAAAGGGTCGCCAACTATTGTAAATCGGATGTATCGTCTTGGGAAATGAAGTTATGTTATCATAATGAAATTCATCTTGATATAGTTAAGCATAATTATTATTATATATTTTTTTAGAAAGCGCTAAATTCGTAAGGGTCATCCAGCGCTGCAGAACAAAGGCGAAAGTGTTGGTGGGGAAGACGAGGGTGGAATTCTATACCGGTTGAACGGATGAGAGGTCACTGGTGACGTAGAAAATCTGTCGGTAGCAAATCTGAGTCTGTAAGAAAGTTGGGACCAGGAGGAGGCGGAGTCACAGTGGAACCATCCACCAGTGTAAGTAGATCTAGTCCATAGGTTGTACAAGCGTTGAAGATGTGATGAAGCCATTGTGTGGCAAAACGTTTCCTCGGTGAAGATTCCCAAATGTTGTAGGTTTTCTAAACAATTTATCTCAATTGCCAGACATTGCAACATCTTGGGATCTTGATACAAAGAATTCTTCAACGCTCGTCCAACCTATGGACATGACCTATTTACAGATATGGGACCGTTAGAGATAATGGTAGATAAATATGTCAGCGCGTGAGGGAAGCAGAAAATGCTCATTGGAAACAACGTCTGAAGAATATGACATTTCTCATTCCAGTGAGGCCTGGGCCAACCAGGGATTTTACATGAACAAATTGAGGATTCTTCCTAGTCTTGACCCACTTTGTTTCAGGGATGTTGGAGCGGTTCACGGGCTTGCTGCTTTTATGCTCATCCTTGTACGCTTCCAGTAAATTTTATGAACGATTGTAAACAACTCAAGCTCGTTACTTTTATGGCTGTCTTACCGTGGGATCGAACGCACCTCAGAGGAAAATGGACACAAATACATTCACTTAGGACAGCTTACTGAAGACGTTTCGGTCTTGCGACCTAAGCAAGAAAGCTATATTAATGTAAGCAAAAAGCTGCATTCCTCTTGATGCAAAGGAATATCCCTTTACTAAGTGCACCAGCTCATTACTTCAGAGATGCAATGGTTAGGCTTAAGAGTATATAATGCAACGAATGCAGTCAACACAATGACTCAGCTCTGAGCCGCAGGAGAGGTACCGCCAAGGCTGTTGCCTAGCAGGCAGGCAGTTGGACAAGAAGGCACACACAAGGCAGGCAGGTGTTCAGACAGGCAAAGGGAAGATTAGGCAGGCAGGCAAACAGGACTGACAAGCAAGCCGGTAGGCACTCATATGTGTAAGTAGGCAGGATATCAAACAATAGAGCAAGCAGATAAAGAGGCAGACATTGTGAGGTGGTAGAATCTTTATAATAATGAATATAATACCGCAGTATACAGACAAGCAGATAAATAAGACAGGTGTACAACACCTGGGTATCTTTATTAATACGTGTGCAACACCCGGGTATCTTTCTTAATACACGTGTGCAACACCTGGGTATCTTTACTAATAAGACACGTGTGCAGCACCTGGATATCTTTACTAAGAAGACGTTTCGCAATTTTTTCCCAATTTACTACAGAGATATTATAGGGAGACAGTGTCAATAGCAATGAGGGCAAGGTGTGTTCTGTGTTTACTACGATGAATGCTTTACTACCACCTTTATATAATTCTCAGCCTTCGTGAAGGTGTGATATATTTACTCTAGCCTTGACATCAAGTTTTTGGAACCTTCCCAACCCTGACTTTTGCCATCTGTGTAAAATCTTTGCACTAGTCTGCTGGAGGAGACTATGTAATTTGTCCTTGTAAACGTTAAATTCATATGTCTATATTTTCATTGTGATACTGGAAACACTGATATGTTGTTGTTTGGGAGAGAGAGAGAGAGAGAGAGAGAGAGAGAGAGAGAGAATTATTTTAATCCGCGAGAAGTGGTAAGCTCGTACGCGGATACATTACCACTGAAAAATTGACTTTAAATCATGTTATTAACCTACATTCAGCAAGGAGGGGTATTTTGATGCTGGTGAAAAACTCGTTTCAAGGAAGTAGAGCGACCACTTCCCCGGATCAAAACTGATTACCACTTCCATGTAATAATAATAATAATAATAATAATAATAATAATAATAATAATAATAATAATAATAGTTTTGGAGGTAGGAAGCAGCATTATATAACCCGTACGTACAGCTTTAAGTCATTTTTAGTAAATCCCGTCAAGGGAAGCTCCTTGATGCTGGTGAGGGGTTCTTGATTTAAGGAGTTTGTCTTGTGCTGCAATTCCTTGAATGAAGCCTGATGCCTTTCATTACCCCAGGCGCTTTAAGACCCCGTACGTGTTTAACATGGATGTTATGACAATCGGTGAGCATTAGAACTGTGATGATCGTCCACTTCTGGCATCATCATTAAGTGAATGATGGCGAATATGTTTCCTTAAAGAATAAAACTGCACAATACCGTGACTGGAACAATACACAAATAATACACACAGAAGAATGAAAAGTATAACGACGTTTCGGTCTGACTAGTCGTCCATAAGTTTCATCCTCCTATGTACAGGTTATTTGTATAATATGTTTCCTTCTTTGCGTCACCTTACTTTGGTGGAAAATGGCTGATATGATAAGAAAAAACAAAATGAATTTGTGGAAGTAGCTAGGCTGGAGGCGTGTCGCCTAGGGCCTTACAACATAACTTGTCACTATGTGACAAAAATTACTCCCTTGATCCATGTAATTAGACATATTGTCCCCTTTCTTGGATCGAAGTTGATTATCTTCTGTTCCCTAGACGCTATATGACCCCTCTGGGTTTAACATTTCCTTTTGATTAAAATAAAATCTACAGTAACCCAAGTGGTCAGAAACCTTTAACCTGTCTTAATTCTCTCTTTCTGTCTATCCACAGCCATTTTTTAACTGCTGTATCCTGGCCCACTCTTTCTAATCCCCATTCTTGTCATCGAACATATGGACTAGCCAAAAAAAAAAAATTAGGGTTGTCACTCATGATAAAGCCTTGAACAAAAATAAAAGTCAAGGAAGTCACATAAAAAAGTTAGATTAGACTACATTAGGTTACGTTAGATTAAGTTAGGTTTGCCGACATTATAACTACAACCAAATGTGACTTTTTTTCCTGTGACTTTTTTACCTGGATTCGATAAAGCAACAGGTTGAGTGCGGAACACTTGACTTAGATACCTCGTACATTTACCTCTATATCCG